GTTGATTTGAGGTTTAACAACCGCCGGCGGATTCAGGGATGGCAGCAGGGTCTTCGAGCAATGCTCCACTGTACTTGGCGGATGGCTTTTCACAAAATCGGCCGCCACGTTTCGAAGGAGTCAATTACTGCTACTGGAAGAATCGCATGGAGCTCTTTGTGGGTTCAACCGATCCAAAGTTATGGGCCAGAGTAGTTAAGGGACCACATGAACTCAAGGCAGATCAGGAGAAGTGGACAGATGAAGATTATGAAAAATTTCAGCAGAACTGCAAGGCAACGAACCTGATGTACTGCGCACTTGGGCCAGAAGAATACCACAAGGTCGCAGGGTGCAAGACTGCCAAGGAGATTTGGGATAAGCTCCAAGTCACCTACGAAGGGACGTCTCAGGTGAAGACATCAAGGATAAACTCGCTGAAGCACCAGTTCGAAATGTTCAAAATGGAAGAAGGGGAAACCATTTGACAGATGTATGAAAGGTTCACCAACATTGTCAACAGTCTGGAGAACCTTGGTAAGTCCTATGAAAGTGGAGATCTGGTAAGGAAGATTCTCTGGGGACTGCCTGAAAAATGGATCCCTAAAGTAACGGCAATAGAGGAAGCCAAGGACCTGGAAAGTCTGGCGATTGATGAGCTAATTGGATCATTAGCTACTCATGAAGAAAAACTAAACAAAAATGGTCCAGACAGCAATGAGAAAGGGAAGAGAGGAATTGCCTTCAAAGCTAGTGGATCAATTGAAGAATCTGAAGAAATGGAAGATGATGAACTTGCTCTCCTTAGCAAGCAAATCAGCAGAATGCTTAGAGCACGACAAGAAAGACGACGTGGAGAACTGACTTCCAGAACCAAGGACGCTGAAAAGAGTGATGGAGGACCCAGAAACACTCATTCTAAGACTTACTTCAAGGGAAGGAACGATCAGGTTCAGAACAGCAGAGGAGTAAGCTCAACCGGGTGTTTCAAGTGTGGGAGAGCAGGACACATAAAGGCAGAATGCCCTCAACTTCGCAAAGAACGGGCACTAGCAGCCACATGGAGTTGCAGTGAAGACGAAGCAGAGGATGAAGAAGAGGTCATTGTGCATAGGTCTTTCATGGCCATAGCTGATGATGAAAATGACGAATCATCCAGTAGGGAAGATCAAGTAAGTCCTCTCGATCACTCTAATCTTATAGAACTTAAGTATCATGAAGGTGATGATATGCTAGAAGAAATCATTAGAGAGGTTCAGATAGAATTTGATAATGTGAAAATCAAATATGCTAAACTAAAACGAGAAAATGAACAGAATATCAAAATAGCTGAAGAATTAAGAATTCAGTTGGAAAATTGCAGACAGGAGAAAGAGTCATTAGAAAGTCACCTAATCATTAGTCGAACAGAATCTAATGAACTAAAGGTAGAATGTTCTCAACTCAGAGAACAGTTGAAGATGAGGAAAACTCAGCAACATAAAACAAGTGAAAGAAAACTGGATAAAACTGCATGTTATTACTGTCATAAGACAGGACACCTCATTCGTGATTGCAAGAAAAGAATAAACTCAGAAACTAAGAAACAGAATGCTACCTGCTTTTCATGTCATCAAAAAGGTCACTTTAGTAGTAACTGTTCACTGGAGAATAGAAATAGACCCAAGAAAGTCTGGGTCAAAAAGACAACGTAAATCATGATTTTGCAGAAATGTCTTCAAGTGAGCATGGAGACATCTAAGTGGATCATGGACAGTGGTTGCTCACACCACATGACAGGTAACAAACATCTTTTCTCAAAACTCAAGTTAGGAAACTTTGGAAAAGTCTACTTTGGAGATAATAACACGGCTGAAATCATAGGTAAAGGACAAGTTGGAGACAAACCATCAATTAATAATGTCATGCTTGTGAATGGACTTAAACACAATCTGTTCTCCATCAGTCAGATGTGTGGAAAGGAATGCAGAGTTGTGTTTGAACCTAATTTATGCTATGTTGAAAACATAAAAACCAATAAATTGCTACTCACAGGAAGTAGAAACGGTAAAGTATATATTCTTGATCCGAATGACAAAACCAGTTTTCATGAAACTTGTCTCTTAAGTATGAATGAGAGTGAACAAGAAAAATGGCACCGTCGGCTAGGGCATGTAAATGTTAGTGTGTTGGCTAAGTTAACTCGATTAAATCTGGTCAAGGGACTTCCTAAGATTAATGAGAAAAAGGACTTCTTCTGTGATGCTTGTGCCAAGGGCAAACACACTAGATCTAGTTTCAAGAGTAAGCCTGTCATATCTACCTCTAGGGTACTTGAACTTCTTCACCTAGACCTGTTCGGACCTACTAATGTTGTTAGCTACGGAGGAAAGTCGTATGCTTTTGTCATAGTTGATGACTTCTCAAGATATATATGGGTTTTGTTTTTGGGTAAAAAGGATGAAGCCTTTTCGAAATTCAGAACTCTTATAAAACGTTTAGAGAACGAGAAATCAACTAAAGTTTACAGTATTCGGAGTGATCATGGAGGGGAATTCAGTTTGGAAAGTTTTGAGTTGTACTGTAATGAAATGGGAAATTTTCATAACTTTTCAGCACCCAGAACCCCTCAACAAAACGGGGTAGTAGAAAGAAAGAATAGAACTCTTATCGACATAGCCAGAACCATGCTAAATGATTATGTTTTACCTAAGTACTTCTGGGCAGAAGCCATAAACACTGCATGTTATATAACCAATCGAGCCTTAATTAGATCAGAATTAAAGAAAACACCCTATGAGCTCTGGAAGGAAAAGAAACCTAACCTGGGATACTTCCATCCATTTGGGTGCAAGTGTTTTGTTTTGAACACAAAAGACAATCTTGGCAAATTCGATGCAAAGTCGGATGAGTCTGTCTTCTTAGGATATTCTGAAACAAGCAAGGCTTACCGAGTATTCAACAAACGGACCCTCAAGGTTGAGGAGTCCGTTAACGTGATATTTGATGAGTCTGTTACTGAGATTACAGGCTGTGACGACAATGAGGAGGAGGACTTCGGTCTTGGAAGAAGAGTACTTAAAAATAGCAAGGAAAATTCATCACTGGAGGAAGGAGATGACACAGGGGGTGTCCCAGAGAACACTCAGTCGTCAGAACATCATCCTCCAGCTCACATTATCAAGAGGCACCCTCCCACTCAGATTATTGGTGAATTAGGCCAAGGTATGACCACTCGATCCAAGACTCAACCAAATTACTATGCTCTAGTTTCCTTAATCGTGCCAAAGAATGTACAAGAAGCATTACTTGACGAATATTGGACTGAGTCCATGTTCGAAGAAATGCATCAATTTGAAAGGGCTAAAGTCTGGGAATTAGTGCCTAAACCAGAAGGTAGAGCAATCATAGGAACCAAGTGGATTTATAAAAACAAATCAGATGAAATAGGAGCAATTCTTAGAAACAAATCTCGACTAGTGGCTCAAGGGTACAATCAAGAAGAGAGGATTGATTTTGATGAAACCTTTGCCCCTGTTGCTCGTCTAGAAGCCATTAGGATGCTGTGTGCCTTTGCTAGTTCAAAACACTTTAAACTATATCAAATGGACGTAAAGAGCGCTTTTCTAAATGGGGACTTGAAAGAAGAAGTATATGTCTCACAACCCCCTGGGTTTGAGGATCACAGATACCCCAATCATGTTTACAAGCTAAAAAAGGCTCTATATGGACTAAAGCAGGCTCCTAGAGCCTGGTATGATAAGCTCAGTTCATTCCTGTTGGAAAATGGATTTCGAAGAGGACAAGTAGATAAAACACTCTTTATAAAACAACAACAGCAACATATATTACTTGTACAAATATATGTAGATGATATAATCTTTGGGAGCTCCTGTCAGAGTCTATGTGCAGAATTTGAATCTGCTATGAAAGGAGCTTTCGAGATGAGTCTAATGGGAGAATTGACTTATTTTCTTGGACTTCAAATCAAACAAACGTCTTCTGGGATTTTTATCTGCCAAACTAAATATCTTCAGAACATGCTCAAACGTTTTGAATTAGGAAATCTAAAATCAGCCATAACTCCCATGGCTACAACACTCAAACTCGATAAGGATGAGTCAGGAAATCCTGTTAATGAGAAATTATATAGGGGAATGATTGGATCATTACTCTATCTCACTGCTAGCAGACCAGACATTATGTTTAGTGTCTGCTTGTGTGCTAGATTTCAGAGTGCTCCTAAGGAAAGCCACCTGTCATCGGTTAAACGCATTTTTCGATACCTAAGTGGTACTCCTAGTCTATGACTGTGGTATTCCTGTCACTCCAGTTTAGAGCTCATAGGATACTCGGATTCTGACTACGCTGGTAGTCTAATGGATCGCAAAAGCACGTCTGGAACCTATCACTTCCTTGGTACGTCCCTTGTTTCTTGGTTTAGCAAGAAACAAAATTCTGTTGCTCTCTCAACCTCAGAAGCAGAGTATATAGCAGCTGGGAGTTGTTGCACCCAGCTTCTGTGGATGAAACACCAACTACTGGACTATGGACTAAAATTAGGGTCAGTACCAATTCTCTGTGATAACACAAGCACCATAAACATGTCAAAAAATCCAGTTCAGCACTCTCGAACCAAACATATAGACATTAGATATCATTTTCTTCGAGAGTTAGTTGAAGAGGGCCAAGTTGATTTAGAATTTGTCCCAACTTCTTGTCAATGGGCTGACATCTTCACAAAACCTCTAGGGGCTGACACTTTTCTAACCATCCGCCGAGAACTAGGGATGTTTTCTTGGACTGAGGTAGAAACTCTCAAATAAAGAAAGTCTGCCCTACTCTTTAGCCTCAAGGAGTATCTACGAATGATCTCTGCTTACCTATTCGTTACTTGATTCTTGCCACTTAGTCTTAACTAGGGTAATCTTTCCTGCTTCCCTCCTGCCTTGTATGCCACTCTAGCTTCCTATAAAACCCTCCACCCTCCGTCTGATCTCACACATATCCCTCAATTCTTAGCTCTCTCAAAACTCTCTCCAATGGCAGCTGCCAATCCTCATGTGGCTCTTCAGCTTGCTCAAGCAGCTATCTTCAATGGGAAGTGTTTTGGTAGTGCTGAAGACTACTCGAGATACCTGCTCAAATTTCAAGATCGAGAGCTATGTCCCTCTGTTGCTCTTGATCCATCTCATTTCAACAGATATGATATGAATATCCCTGCTCTCATCAACAGTCTTGGGTGGACTGATATTATCCACAATCAGCACTATGGATTTCGCCCTGAAGCAGTTCGCATGTTTTATGCAAACATGAAACCCTGCTACAATACAGTTCCTCCATCCTTCACCACTATCGTGTTCAACTATTTGATCACGGTCAACGTGGAGCTTCTCTCTCTGCTACTCGGGATACCTATTAATGGGTTCGAGGTTATGGATGCACAAGACTTTCAGTCTGTAGGGTTTGATGAAGTAGCAGCCTTCCGTCGTTACACCCAGGACACTGGAAGGTACTACCCAAATATGTTGTCCTCTGGAAGGCTCCCTAATGATCTTAAAGTCCTTCACTTCTATATCACTAGGGTCTTTCTTCCTCGCTCCTATGGGCACTCCATCATTCATCCCACTGATCTCTGGATTCTTGCCAGTGCCAGGGAGAACCGTGCCATTAGCTATCCTCATCTCATGTGTTGGTCACATGGTCACCTATCATGATGACAACTATGAAGATGATCTGCCTTTCGCTCCAACAATTACCCTGCTTTTACTCGCTCTTGGGGTGGATCTGAGGTACAAAGTGGCACGAGTTGATCTTATTTATAGGCTCCAGGCTCAATTTGTACTTCGAAGGGTCGATGCTTCTGTGGGACGTCGCCGTCCCCGCGTCAATGTTCCAGGGGGAAATGATGCTGACACTGTGGTACCTCCTCCTGAGGATGGTCTGAGTTTGGCTGACCGGTAGATGACTCCACTGCTGGACCCAGTGGTCCCAAGGAACTCTCAGGTGAAGGATCGGATGGGAACAACTCTGAAGCAGGCATCTCAGACTACATGTCGTCGCCATCCTATCCGTTCTAAAACTTAGTTATGTCAACCGGAGGGGGAGTTTTTGCTTAAATTGAGAATGGTCAGGTTTAGGGGGAGTCTTGTTTAATGAAATTGAATAAAGTTCTTATGATAAAAGAACGTAGGGAGAGTCGGTGATTTTTCGAGTTATATATTGATCGTGTCTTGGTTTTCTTTAAGTTGTTTTGAGTCAGTTGTACCCCTCAGTTTCTCTTTATATGAAATAAAAGGAAGTATGATTCTTAGTGTCCCTCGATATGTATGTCAAAGAACAGTCTGCACGTAACCTGTCTGCTTAAGTGTGTGTAGGTGCCACAGGCTCAACATTAAGGGACCATTGACTGGCTTAGGGGGAGACTGTTGAAGGAAAGCCAGTCAATAGATCAAACATTATTGAGGCAAGCTAGATCAACTCATGAACGAAGAATGGCAAGGAAGATCAACTCATGATCTGGGAATAGTCACAGACTTGGAAGGTTATTCAAAACAGGATCACAATCATTCTGCAGTAAAGGACAACGGCTACTATACGAAGAAATTGGAAGGCCTCTCTGGAGTTAATGAAGGTTTCCTCAAATTACAATCTGTAGTCATCCGGCAGCAAGTATTTGAAGCAATCCCCAGCCCAAGAGAAAGACACTTTTCGCCAGAGAAAACAATACAGCTTTAGAGTTAACTGCTTAAGTGTATTGGGTTGAAAAGCTGCTCTTGTTGTGATTCGGGGAGAATCAGTTGAGAGAGAGAGAGAGAGAGAGAGAGAGAGAGAGAGCGTTTGAATACGCTGTAGCTGGATAGCTGGGGAAGACAAAGTGGGTAGCAATCGTAGGTCCTGGACTGGATCCTTCGACGATTGGATCGATACTCTGTGTAGAGAGCTGAAACAATCACACTCATAGTGAATCATCGAATTCCACGCAATCGTGGACATTCGACCGTGGAATAGTCGGTAGCGCATTTGCCTACCGAAAACCACGTAAAAATACTGTGTCTCCTGGTTCTGAGGATCTGCTGAACAATCTTCTCTCTGTTTTTGTTTGATTAAGTGCAGGGTAACAAAAGAAGCTGAGAAACTGGAGAAGAAGATAAACAACTGCTTGACGGTGGCGTTTTGATCCAAGTCTCACACGACACCGTTGCGACTTGAAGGAAATTGGACCAGCATATGCTAAACGGGCTCAAGGCCCAGATCACATACATTCGTTTCAATACAGTGGCCCGACTGCCCAATAATCAGAACTCCGAATCTAATCTCACTCACACTTTCATCCCTGCATTTCGTTTCATCTTTCATTCCCAAATTCGTCATTAGGGTTCTTGAAGAAAATTCGGTTTTTGCAGGGACATCATGAGAAAGGACCCAAGAGAATCTCGCGCTCGATTCTTTCTACACTTTGTTTGTAAACGGATGCCTTTGGACTTCCTCTTGTTGGAACCAGATTGTTGATTCATTCTCTTCTTTATAACTAATCATTTTAAAGTACAATAAAATCCCCTTCGTAAAAAAAACTAAGGAGTCGTAAACACAGACTTACACCTACTAATTCAGCAGCCCGAACAAGATTGAATCCATCCACGCACATGTCTATGCTCCATTAATTATACTTCATGCACCGAACCAGGAGAAAGAACGACAAGGGAGAGGAAAGGGCCCAGAGGAGCAGAGATCTCACAGTACTAAAAAAACAGAACGAAGAATCAAAATTCCACAAATATACAAGCTTTGCGATCTCCCCACCCAATTTGCTAAACCCTAATAAATAACGTGTCACTTCGAAGCTCTTAGTTTGTGCCCTCCACAAAGTCTCCCTTTTAAAAAAATTTCCCCTTCGTTTCTGAAATTATAAATTTCAAAAGCTGCTGAAGCTTCACTTCCCATCTTCCTTGCCGTTTTCCCCATTACTTAAATTATTTCCTCCTGAAAGTAAGTAGTCGCCGCCTCGTCACGAGAAAAGCTCAGGCGCCTCCCCTATTTTACTTCTCGCTTAACAATCTGTCTCTTTCTGTAGTATAGCACACTTGGGATCCAGCACCTTCCTCCTTCCCCTGTTTCTCATTTGCGCCGATTCGCTTGTCTTTCCAGCAATTGGTCTTCAGCTACCCTGATTCCCAACCCAGTTCCTGAAATCGAATTGGAGATTGAATCGACCAGCTGGGGGAAGGGTAGCAACATGACGGTGACGGAGCGCTAAACGGCGGCCCGTTCGGTATTGGGAAACAAAACATGCAGCAGCTGAGTTGGCAGAGGTGGATCGGATCTGGAGCTTCCCGCCAATTGGTGGAAAATATCTGCCGGCCATTAATGAAGCTACCGTCGAGATCGTCAGCCGTCGTCTTCTCCCTTCTGCTCCTCCTCGGCGGCGCGTTGATCTCCACTCGCCTCCTCGATTCCAATGTAAGAAGAAGAAAAAAATTCAATCTCTCACTGTCAATAATTGCTGCCGTTTTGCTTTTTTGACTTTTCGCCTAGCTCGAGCTGCCGCCTGCCGGGCCTGATACGATGCGGTATAATAGCTTTGTTTCTTTTCATGTCGGCGAGCTTCCCAAACCAACCAGAGACCGTCGGTGGTCGGACGTCGTTCGATCGTTTCCACGTGCAGTGATCCCCGCCGTGTCAGCCGTAGTAATTATTTTATTGTAATAAATAATTATTTAATTCATTTCCCTCATTCTTCGTCGCAGGCGTTCAGCAGCTCGGCGAAGACTCTAACGGCCAGCAAAATCACGCTTCCCGACAAAATTCCGAAAAAACATCTCGAGATTCCACTCAACTGCACTGCACTCAACCACACCGGAACATGCCCGGCGAACTACCCGACTACAACGGGAGGCACGATCGAGGAACCTGGCCCGCCGTCCACGTGTCCGGAGTACTTCCGTTGGATCCACGAGGACCTGCGGCCGTGGGCCCACACGGGGATCACGAGGGAGGCGGTGGAGACGGCGAAGCGAACGGCGAACTTCAGGCTTGTAATCGTGAACGGGAAGGCTTACGTGGAGAGGTATCAGAGGGCGTTCCAGACGAGGGACGTCTTCACGCTGTGGGGGATTCTTCAGCTGCTGCGGCGGTTCCCCGGTCAGGTGCCCGATTTGGAGCTGATGTTCGATTGTGTTGACTGGCCGGTGATCGCCAAATCCGACGGCTATAACGAAAATGGGCCTAACGCCACCGCCGTTCCACCGCCTCTGTTTCGGTACTGTGGGGATGATCGCACGCTCGATATCGTTTTCCCTGATTGGTCGTTTTGGGGATGGTAAGTGGACAGTAGAAAGTAGGAACCCTTCGATTCTCATTTTCTGTGGAGTTAATTTTGATTACAGTGTAGTTAATTAGGTGTTGATGAATTGTGCATTAGGCCGGAGATAAACATAAAGCCGTGGGAGGGGTTGCAGAAGGAGCTGAAAGAGGGGAACAAGAGGAAGAGATGGATGGAAAGGGAGGCTTATGCTTATTGGAAGGGGAATCCGGCGGTGGCGGAGACAAGAATGGACCTTATGAAATGCAATGTCTCTGAAGAACACGACTGGAATGCTCGCGTCTTTGCTCAGGTGAGATTCGTAGTCGATGAACTGTTACTATCGCGTCATAGGTAATTTCCGATAACATCGGGTTGGAATTAGATCGAGTATTGTGTTCGATTTGAAGCGATTATGAGTCACAATTGGTTTTGAGCAGGATTGGGTTAAAGAATCACAGCAAGGGTACAAGCAATCGGACTTGGCCAACCAATGCCTGCACAGGTCAGTTCAATAGTTCATAACCCATCCATTGTTTCGATCTCATCACCCCTTTTGAAGTTACATTCTTGACCAGCAGCTCTATGTTTATGTGGCATTTCAGGTACAAGATCTACATCGAAGGTTCCGCGTGGTCAGTGAGCCAGAAGTACATAATGGCCTGTGACTCCGTCACCCTGATGGTAAAGCCCCATTACTACGACTTCTTCACCAGAAGCTTGGTCCCAGTTCATCATTACTGGCCTATCCAGGAACACGACAAGTGCAAATCGATCAAGTTCGCGGTCGATTGGGGCAACAGCCACAAGCAAAAGGTAATAATCATAGTTCCAAACTCACACCTTAGCCAGCAGAATAATGTGTGTTTCAATAGCTTGACTTGGAGAGCGGACCCTTTTTTTGTTGTAGGCTCAAGAGATAGGGAAGGCGGCGAGCTCATTCATTCAGGACGAGTTGAAGATGGACTTCGTGTACGACTACATGCTCCATCTCTTGACTCAATACTCGAAGCTACTGACGTTCAAGCCTGTTGTTCCGAAGCGAGCTGTTGAGCTGTGTTCGGAATCAATGGCTTGCAATGCAGCTGGGTTGGAGAAGAAGTTCATCATGGAGTCGTTGGTGAAGAGTCCTTCTGAAAGGGCTCCATGCACGATTCCTCCGCCTTACGACCCTCCATCGCTTAGTTTGGTTTTGAGGAGGAATTCGAATTCGATCAAGCAGGTTGAGTTATGGGAGAAGAGGTACTGGGACAATCAGAACAAGCAGCAGCAGTAGCAGGCGTAAAGGAATAGGGTGCTATACAATATACAAAGGGGACTAGTTTTTCCCTGTTATATGTAAAATCATTGGGATCATAGCAAATTCCATTATTTGTAGCAGTTTCAATAGTGGGCTCTCCATATTTGAGTAGATGGGCTCGAATATTTGGAGCCTGCCTAAATGGGCCCATATACAAACGAACCAGATCACGCCATTTGGCCGGGTTTCCACCAAGCATCACCTCTTCCAAAAGTTGCTGCCACAACGGCTCGGATTCTACCTTTCCCGTTCACTTTCTACGTACTCGACAAGAGCTCCCGGAATCCGAGTTGAAAGAGATTGATCACCGTATTTGGATTACATACCGCCGGGAAAATACTCCGACGATAAGCTGGTATCCATCCTTGCTCATTCGGTTTTTCAGGAGCGTAACATCGCCTCAGAGGAAATCGACGGAAGAAGAAAAAAATCAGGGGATCGTAGATATTCTCCAGAAATGAGCGTCGCCGGAGAGTGAAAACAGAAGGGGATCAGAAATTCGAACAGAAACGAAATATATTAGAGACGGTGGTAGCAACGCCGCCATGATGCCACTTAATAAAAACTCCGCCTTCATCTTCTTCGGCGTCTTTCTCCTCATCGGCGCGTACATAACCACGCGCCTATTCACCGACGTGAGTTCGATTGGGCCCTTTTTTTCTCAATCTCCCCCTTCTCTCTCTCTGACTTTTTCCAAACTTCGGCTACGGGAAAAAGACGACGTGGTTCTCGCTGTGCTGACCGTTTCCCTCTTTCCCGCAGGAAATACCGATCGACGCGGCAGAGAGAGAAATCAAGGACGAGAGGAACGCACGCGCCGGCCCCACCTACAGAGTCGAGGTCCCACTGGACTGCCCTGGTTTCACCCTGACCGGAACATGCCCCACGAACTACCCGACAACTTCTCCTTCGTCATCAGCTGACCGTCCCCCGTCCAAAACCTGCCCGGAGTTCTTCCGGTGGATCCACGAGGACCTCCGTCCCTGGGCCCGCACCGGCATCACGAGGGAGACGCTCGAGAGGGCCAAAACGACGGCGAATTTCCGGCTCGTCGTAATCAAAGGCCGAGCCTACGTCGAGACTTTCGAGAAAGGGTTCCAGACGAGGGACACTTTTACCCTGTGGGGGTTCCTACAGTTGCTCCGTAGGTACCCCGGCCAAGTCCCCGATCTGGAGCTCATGTTCGATTGCGTCGACTGGCCGGTGATCAAATCGGCGGACTTCGCCGGACCCGAATCTCCTCCTCCGCCGCCGCTGTTCCGGTACTGCGGCGACAACCAGACGCTTGACATCGTCTTCCCCGATTGGTCCTTTTGGGGATGGTACTGTGATTCTGACTTTTCTGTTCAAATTTTTTTTCAATTCCGTCGATCAGATTATGATTCTTGTTTACCCTTTTGTGGGTAGGGCGGAAATCGACATAAAGCCATGGCAAATGCTGCTACCAGAGCTGAAGGAAGGAAACACGAGGACCAAATGGGAGAACAGGCAGCCCTACGCTTATTGGAAGGGAAACCCTGACGTAGCGGAGACGAGATTGGATCTTATGAAATGTAATGTCTCCGAGAAGCAGGATTGGAACGCTAGGGTTTACAGGCAGGATTGGTTCAAGGAGTCGCAACAAGGGTACAAGCAATCTAGTCTGGCGAGTCAGTGCATTCACAGGTACAAGATTTACATTGAGGGTTCGGCATGGTCGGTGAGCCAGAAGTACATTCTGGCGTGTGACTCCGTCACGTTGATCGTAAACCCACATTACTACGATTTTTTCACGAGAGGGTTGATGCCGGTCCGCCATTTCTGGCCGGTCAAGGAGAATGATAAGTGCAGGTCGATTAAGTTCGCCGTCGATTGGGGGAACAGCCACAAGAGGAAGGTGGAGTACTGAAGAACTAACTAGCTAGTTAAGCTCAATCGGGAATTTTTGTAGCTGGGGAATGAAAAAATTTGTGCATTTTGTTGTTTTTTCATTTCAGGCGCAGGCGATTGGGAGGGCGGCGAGCAACTTCATCCAGAACGACCTGAAAATGGAGAATGTGTACGACTACATGTTCCACCTCCTGAACGAGTACGCCAAGCTGCTCAAGTTCAAGCCGGAGGTGCCGCGGAACGCCACGGAGCTCTGTTCCGAAGCCATGGCTTGCGCTGCCGACGACCAGGGGTTTCAGAAGCAATTCATGATGGATTCACTGGTGAAGGGTCCAGCGGAGAGGGCTCCCTGCGCCATGCCGCCGCCGTACGACCCTTCGTCGATGTATGCGGTTGTGAAGAAGAGGGAGAGCTCGATGAAGATTGTGGATTTGTTGGAGAGGAGGTATTGGGAGAAGCAGGGTCGTCGTCAGCAGAAGCCTTGATTTATATAGATTGTGAGAGAATTCAAGGTTCTGCTTGGCTTGGTTGGTGTTTTCTTTGCTTGTGTTATGTTTGTATACACAACAGTTGTTTAAAGGGTAGAGTATCTGGTGATCAAAAGACACCAACAAGATATGAAGGTTAATAAAGCGCAAACTATTTGAAACGAAGCAAAGCACACGATGATAGAAAGATCTGCAATCTCGTGGTAACTGAGGCAACAGTGTATTTCACGCATGCATGTGTTGCGTTCGATCTCGTATGATTTGTTATGGTCTATGATCATCGTTTTGTCCATGTACCAATTCACTAAACTTTGAAGATTCGTCGCGCGATTATCAGTTGTTCGGAATTAGAATACTGCATGCAACTCTGAGCATCATGTTATTGTGTGGTAATCCTGGTATGGCGATTTATCATATATGCTGTGAACTTTGACATAGCACTATCAGAATGTAAGATAAACTTAATGATGTGTAGCGATTTGCTTTACGAGTAACAACTAACAAGCATGTAGATCTGGTTTGAACTTATCGTTCTAATAGCTGGCTTATCTCTGTGCTTGTCTGGAACACATATTTGCAGGTTTGTATCTACATTTCTCAAAATTTAGCATCTGTTAATACTTAATAGCAACAAGTTCGGCTGTTTCTTTTTTTAATCCTCCTTGGATTGCCTCTCAAAGAGTGTAGGCAACAGTTAGGATATATGCCTGAATCAGTCAAACCCATGACCATGAAAGTGCTTATAGTAACAACGCTACTGGTTTTCTTTCTTCAGCAGCAAACATCAGAGCATTAAGGCAGAGAATAGACTCTCGTGAATCAATCGAACACATGAAAGAGCTTTGGTAACAACACTACTGGTTTTCTTTCTTCACCAGCAAATGCAATAAGAACATTATAGCTGGAGAAGCGACTTTGATGACAAAAGGAGAGTATGTATAACATGACAAAATGAAAAATTACATCAGACTAGATGATGCTTGCTTGCTTTTCAGTATAAGAAACTCATGGGAACCATAAAACAAAGGGATCCCCGAGAAAAATATAACTAAACCCAATTGATGAACAACACAAAAGAAAAAGGAAAACAATGGCTGGCGGGGCAAGTAGGAAGGGGTAAGGGGAGGAGAGGAGAGAAGCTCCACAATGAATGAATTCAATGGTGGTGAGTGTGTGAAAGTATATAAGTCTGTAGCATTATAGAAAGACTTAGACAACTTGTGATGCCGGAGTATGTGTCTAAAGAGCTCGGCCTTTGACAATGTCAAGACTCATTTCGCTGGGATCGGTTGCTTGTAACTCTACTTGAATCCCGTCGAGTTCCCTCTTGAATCTGTCTTTCGAGCTCGCGTACACCATCTTACTTCTCACCTTCGATGTGTCAGGTGCCCTGCAAAACAGAGGAGATAACAAACAACGAGTTCTTTTTCGTGTTCATGGGTTTCCTCTCTGTGGCAATGTAGTTTGTAACGAAATGTGTTGTGTGTTACCATGCGATGAAGAAGATCTTGCTCTTCTGGCAGTTCTCATCAGTGGTAAAATCGAAGTCATAGACAGCATAACGACACTCGTTGGCAGGGAGGCACTTGGTGAAATCCTCGTATGTTTCCTCGGGGCTCCCCAGTTTCTCCACAACAACCTGCTGGTTCTCGATCTTGAACACGATGAACCTGTAGTTCCTCTTTGATTTTAGTTCCAGAAACTTCAGCTTGCAGTCATCTTGAACTGCCATTCCCGATGCTGAGTTCGCCTATCCATAATGCCCCCCCACATATTAACATAAAACAACAACAGACGTCAGTGGCGGATCCAGGATTTTTTTTATAGGGGGTGTCCTCTTCCAAAAATTAAATTAAATTAAAAATTAATTAAATAAGTCATAAATCATAAAATATCCGAGTAGTACATATTTTAACAAAAGATCGGGACATATTTTCATATTTGGAAAAAACAATATAAAATAGACTCAATATCTACATTGTTCAACAAATCTGTATATCCTACTAGACAATAATGCACGAACTGATCGCATATTCGATTTCTAACCTTGTTCTTGATGTAACTCAAAGTAGAAAGACTCTTTTAACTATTGTCGTGTAACCATGAAATCAATTCAAATTAAGGATAACCCGTAATTAGTTTAATTGTTAGGTTTTGAAAATAATTGGGGATAAGGAATAATGTTTTTACTATTTTATAGTGTTTAAAATAGAACAAGAAACGAGTTGAAAACTAGATAATATGTTTAATAATAGTAGTGTTCTAGGTTTGAATAATACAAAGTACCACTTATATTTTTTTAATCATACACAAATTACTACCGAGATTAGGATAATCGTTTTTTTTTAATTTAAGGGTGTCCCGGATTACAGATTATAATTTTTTTATCCATACGAAACTATTATTTGAGGTTGGATAATCGTTATCCCAAATTTTAGGGGTGTCCCGGGACACCCTAATGATCCATGTATCCGCCACTGACATACGTCAACATGAACATAGAACCAGATGGATGGAAACATTATCATAGAAAAACAGAGGAAAGAAACAGAGAGATTACCATGGTGATGTCCTGAAAGAGGGAGACAGCCAAAGGAGCTTGGGGCGAAACAAGGAAGAACAAAATGGAAAATGGGATAATGCAAGAGATATGGAGAATGGGAAGGAGGAATACGGGAGAGATCCTTAATTCTGGGGAGACATGGCCGAGGTCAGACAAATACGAGGATTAGGGAGATTTTTCAGGGACTAAACTAAGGTTGACATTTCTCTTCACCCTTTTCACCGCTCATCCAACAATGGCCTTTTGATGTTTTTTCCTGCAAGTTGTTACACGAAACAGAAGAAATAATATATAGCCAATGGTTTTCATATATCTTGTCCCTGCATTTTCTACAAGCTTAATATAGAATCCATGAGCTAAAATTTGCTTCCCTCTACATTGAGTCAATGATCATCAGTTGGCCACGTTTCTTGGTCCAACATATTGATGAATCCTATATTTTTCTACAAGCATAAAACAGCTTTCCAAATGTCTCCTACAAATAGTGTGCTTCTTTAAAAATTTGGCTAGAAGTGTGTTAACAAGGCGAAAGAACAATACATTAAACAAGGTGGTCATTTCTCCAAACTTATGATCTGTCAAAGGTAATTATCTATACATTCTACAAAATTGGCACACACGACAACACAAGTAAACAAAACCTTGAAGTTGGCAAAGCAAAATTTTGTTGCTAGGGAAGGGGAAGACCATCCCGGAACTTGAACAACTCTCTGAGATCTGCAGTATCTGTTGGAAAGCCGGGTGGTTATAAACCTAAGCAACTATCACATTCTACCCTTCAAAGTTCACTACTTTGGGACCATTTTTCTTCTTGGATTTTGTAGCTTCTTCGTTCAGATCAGATGCCTTCCCAGTTTGCTCGCTGCTGTATGTGTTACTATCTTGCATAAAATCGTCATCAAGCTCATCCCCACTTATAAACTTGGTCAACTTCCCTGTTGGTCTTTCGACATTCCGGAAGGCTGAAACAAAAAGGTTGTATCTAATTATATATATGAACCAAAATTTGAAACATTAACCTAGTCTTACTTCAGACAGCCAATCCCTTTCCAAGACGATTGCTAAAAGGATAACCAAAATTGTACATTTACCTTGTCTATCACTGGAAGGAGTAAACATTTTATCCTTATCAGGGCAATCTCTAGCCAAATGTGTCACCCCGCTGCATATTTTACAGCAACCACCCTGCAAAATAAACAACCCAAATGTGAAATGTCAGTTTCAAATTGATGGCAGAACAATCTGATCCGTGTTTCCATACAAGAACTGGTATGAGTTGAAGTACCTTGGGGTATATCCCATGAGCATTTTTGGGGCAGTCCTTGCTCAAATGGCCTTGTTCATTGCAGATAAAACAATTGGCAAACTTGGTTCCCCCTACACAACAGATGAGAATGTAGAGATTCAGAACTAATAAGTAACGTCCAGGACTGAGTACTACAAGTTCAATCCTATCTATCTTCACGAACGAATATAAATAATTTATAAGCATTGTAGATTCAGTGAAACAAGACACTTCAATACATCTTGGAAGAACCATAATGCTTTAATCTAAATGACTTGCCTACCTGATTCAAAATCAAGTTAAATGTACACAAAAGTACTACAAAAGAAATGGGAAATCACTGCAGAAAGAAACCACCGACAGTACAACCTAATTCCCAAACTGCAACCGAAACCCATTTCTAGTTTGAAGCCTAGGATAATGGTAATGAAGCAAACCAAAGGAAGCATAGCTGATTCACCAAGTGGTGCCATAAATGTCAAATTATGAAAAATGCGTCTAATTGAGATGGTCAGTACAATCTTCAAGAACTTTAGTCCTACTGACCTCCTTTCGTGATTTAGAACCAAGCTAAAGTAACACAAAGCTGCAATAAAGCCGATACTAGTACGAGCCAATTTCAATTCCAGAAACTGCAAAAGAAACACAGTTCTAATTTGAAGACAAGGGAGACGGTAATGATTAATAAGGAATCAACGGCTATTTCTGATTAACCAGATGGGTGTTGTCTAAGTGTGACGCTATTAAAATTTCACTTACAACCAATCAGCAAGGCCAAAAAGCAATGTGAATTTTCAACCAAACTAGCACTGCTCTAACACCGAATTCAAGACAATGAAAAAATCTCACCATCTTGACGAGGCTGGAGGCAGTTAGCCAAGGAATGTCCAGACTCCCCGCAATTATAACACAGCTTAGCAGCCACCGTCTCATCTTCCTTATTGGGACAACGCTGGAGGCTATGCCCCCGCTGCCTGCAGAGCAAACATATCTGCAACAAACCACCACCATAAGACACTACTAAACCAACCAAATCCAGCTAAAGTTCAGGAATTTATGAACGAACCTTGTTCCTTTCCCATTCAGCTTTCTGGGGGCAAAGTTTGGCAATATGGTCCACAGCCTTGCATATGTAACAAGTATCCCCGGGCTTCATTCCAGGGACTCTAAGGGGCCGTTTCGTGAATTTGGTTCTCTTGCTGGGATCTTTGGGTTCAGTGTTCTTCTTGCGCTTGAACAAGCTCTTCTTTTTCTTCGGCTTGTTGGGGTCCTTCGGCGGCGTCGGTTCTGGCTTTGGGAACAGAGCTGGGTTCTCTTGTTTGAATTTCCGTCGGGCTAATTTCTGCCTTTTGGTGACCATCTTGACGGGAGCTGTGGAGTTGACGAAGCTAATGGAAACCAATTTTTTTTTTTTTGACAAAAGATAATCAATAATTGATAACAAAACAAAGACCATTACAGCGAGTGCCTCAGCCAGGCAACGAAATCAAACGAACGACTCATCGTCGGGTACAAAGAAAGGGCTTTGCGAGCCACCAAGTGGGCTACCCTATTACTACGCCGACCAACAAATCGGACACTAAATCCCTCCCGCTCCCCCATATAACGCTGGACTTCTTGAAAAATAGCACCTGCACGACTATCCTGCACTGGGTACTCCGCAAGCCGATTGATCACCACCTGAGCATCACCCTTGAATCTGACCTGGTCAAGCCCCTGCTGGGTACACCAAATCATGGCCTCACGTAGAGTAAGTAATTCCACAACCATGGGATCATCCATCCCAGGGAAATGGACTGCCGAGGCCATTCTGGGGACCCCACCTTGATCCAGAAGAACCATCCCACCAGCCGAGTGAGACCCCCGTCTAGTCGCTCCGTCCCACCGGCAGACTGAAGTGTCAGGATTAGGAGGAACCGAGGCTACTCCATCCAGCCGAGGAGCACCATCAACCCTAGGGGCTGGCAACGAGCGCCATTCCTCAACCTGCTGCACCTGCACGACTATCCTGCACTGGGTACTCCGCAAGCCGATTGATCACCACCTGAGCATCACCCTCGAATCTGACCTGGTCAAGCCCCTGCTGGGTACACCAAATCATGGCCTCACGTAGAGTAAGTAATTCCACAACCATGGGATCATCCATCCCAGGGAAATGGACTGCCGAGGCCATTCTGGGGACCCCACCTTGATCCAGAAGAACCATCCCACCAGCCGAGTGAGACCCCCGTCTAGTCGCTCCGTCCCACCGGCAGACTAAAGTGTCAGGATTAGGAGGAACTTCCTCAACGAGCGCCATTCCTCAACGAAGCTAATGGAAACCAATTGCTGAGCAGAAAGTGGGAAGAAGACGAAGGAGCAGCGGAGGTTTTAGCCTTTAGGGGACTGCTCGGAGAGGTTCGTAGTATGAAGAAGGGTTGGAAAAATGTGGGGGAATTTTCATCCAGCAGTTAACATCTGAACGGACCGGATAGTCCGGCCCATGTAGGCCCATTGTACCTCAGCCCTCAAAATAATGGGCTTGTCTGCTCCCCCTTGCAATTCGATGGGAAGAAGCAAGGAAATGAAACATGTATGTTCGTCCTCATGGAATCCTCCTCAACAAACTAGGGATGGCAATGGGTCGGATCGGAGGCGGATAACCCTACCCAACGTAGTTCGGGTCTTACCCATACCCGTACCCACACGAGAAACGGGTAGAAAATCAAAACCATGCCCATACCCGTTCGGGTTTCGGGTATCCACGGTTATCCATGGGTAATAATTTCTCCTTATAATTCCAACCAATATGTTAACATTCACACGTATATTCACATTACGTAAGAGGAAAAGTACGACAATAATTCACTAGAATGACGAAAATTAATTAAAACAACATAATTTCATGAAAATATTATATTTATATGCTAAATATAAAATATTCTAGGGAAAAATAATGATTATTTCTAGACAAAATACATATGCATGTGTATAATCGGGCGGGTTCGGGTTGGATAGTGAGATAACCATGCCCACCCATTACCCGCAATATTCGGGTTCGGGTTTTACCCGTACCCACGAAAAATGTTTCGGGTTCAGGTTTTACCCTACCCGATTAGATCGGATTCGGGTGGATATCCACGGTTACGGATATTTTTGCCATCCCTACAACAAGCATACCTTGCTCCCTGATCATCACTTGGACTTGGCTGTCCCTAGGTGCGGTAGAGGGCGGGGTTACACCTGGGTTAACCCTCGGTCTCATGCTGCTGCTGCTCGTGGTCACACTCCGAGGAGGATGTCAACTCGTCAAGTGGATCCGGAGCCTTGGATGCATCAAACAGTTCGTACTGCTGCTACAGGTGTTGGTGCTGGTCCTTTAGTGTTGAATGATCAACTTCCAGGTCTATTTCGCACCCTACTATTTCTCGAATTGTTTTACCTTTTATTCAGATTTCGGAAGTGAGAGCAGCAGCTGCTCCTAGGGCTACTTCTGCTACGAATGTGGGTGATAAGGGTAAAGGAAAAGTCATATTTAGTGAGGCTGAATCTGATGATGAGGAGGAGTACAAGGATCGTGGATCTTTGATTTACACTCCAGTTTTCCATATGCGCCTCACTAATGAGGATTTGCTTGTGGAGAAAAAAAAACAAGCGTTCTCATGATGAAATGGTAGGTTCTCAGCTGGGGATTGCGGCTGGTCTGGCACCCTGCTACTGGAACATGGTTCTCTAGAGCCCTCTGCTACTGCTGGTGCTTATGCTTCAATGGTTGTTGATGAAGATGTCCCACCAGCAAAGAGGCAACATGTAGAGCCGATTGAAAATGATGATAATATTCTGGGAACTATGGTGGAAGCCAGCAACGAATGGCCCCATGGGATTGAATGACTCTCCTCGCTTGGAACTTTCGAGGTTTAGGTCCTGCTTTGACAGTTCAGGCATTAGAAGGACTTGTTCGTGTATACTCTCCTTGTATTGTTTGTTTATCTGAAACTCATAATGGTCCTTCTTTTGTAGATGGTGTGATCGGTCCTTAGTTTTGTTGATTGTAGTATAGCTGATCCAGTTGGTTCTTCGGGTGGTCTTGTTGTTGCGTGGAATTCTGATGTCTTAGTTTCGTTCCTTTGTAAAGACTATTATTACATTGCTTTGCGTTTAAGTGTTGGTAATATAAATTGTGTGCTTGTGTTTGTGTACCTTTCGTGTGATGACGTTATCCGGCGGTGGCAACTTAATTATTTATCTACCTACTGTTCTCTTCTTGCATTTCCTTACATGGTGTTTGGGGACTTTAATGATCTCTTACATTCCATTGAGAAAATAGGTGGCAGGCATTTAATCCCAACAAATCTTTGCCCTTTAGGAAATTTGTGGATGATCTTGGTTTAATGAACATCGGTTTTACGGGTCATCGATTCACTTGGTCCAATCGGCACTCTGATGATTCTGTTATGTATATTCGTTTGGATCGTTTTTTGTTTTCATGTAATTGGATTGATACTTGACCACATTGTTCGGAGCAACATCTTTCCGATGAAGGAAGTGATCCAAGAGCGTTGTGGTTCAAATGGACGGTAGATCGGCTTACGAGTAAACAATTGTTCATGTTTGATGCGCGTTGGAAGGACAATTCCGAAGCCGTTGACATTGTGAAAGAGGTTTGGGCTTCTTCTGTTTCTGGCTCTCCTTGTTATTAGTTTTGGAGCTGGATGAAACATGCTCGCCATCGATTGTTTCAATGGCGTAAGGAGGGGACGTCTAATTCAGCTTGTCGTATAAGGACTTTACGTGGGGAGTCGGCTCAGGTTCGCAATTCATATCCACTTGACTAGACCGAACTAAGCAGGATTGAATCCAAGTTGGCCAAGGTTTGGGCAGCGGAAGAGATCTAGTGGCGGCAACAGTCACGAGTGAGTTGGCTTCGTGAAGGAGATCGAAATTCAAATTACTTCCACACTTTGACTCGAGCACGACGACGACACAATAGGATGCATGGCATGTACAATTCTGCAGATGAATGGGTAACTGATGAGTCAGGGAAGCAGCAGGTCATGATTGATTTTTATAAGCACATTTTCACCTCAACGCATACAGATTCCGAGTTTGATGCTCGGGTTGATGCTAGGGTGTCTGAGTTGCCCTTTCCTTCTTTAGTTACTCCTGCAATGAACCTTGCTTTAACAGCGGAAGTGTCTTCAGAGGAAATTACAGATTTTATCTTTCCTTTGGGAGAGTTTAGTTCTCCGGGATTGGATGGTTTCACTGGCTGTTTCTTCAATTCTTTCTGGCCAATTGTGGGTGAGAGTGTCATTAAGGCTATCTGATCCTTCTTCCAGTCAGGTAAGCTTCTAAATAATATGAACCACAGCGGGATAACACCTATTCTGAAAGTATATTTGGTTGAGAGAGCATCTCAATTGCGTCCTATCAGTCTCTGCCAACTCTTGTACAAGGTGATTACGAAGATTCTAGCCACCAGGTTAGGCTCTATTTTACCATTTTTAATATCCCCAAAGCATATTGGTTTTGTTTAGGAAAGGCAGATTGTTGATAACGTGTTAGTAGCTCATGAATTGGTCCATTTTATCAAAAATAAAAGACTGGGTAGGGAAAAGTTCATGGCTCTGAAACTGGACATGGAGAAGGCTTAAGACAGAATCGAATGGCCATATTTATTTGCGACCCTTAGGAAATTGGGTTTCTCTTCCACTTGGATTCACTGAATTAGAGAATGCATCACAACAGCTACTTTCTCAGTAATGGTGAATGGCAACCCGACTAGATATTTTCCTTCTTCTCGTGGTTTACGTCAAGGTGACCCCCTATCTCCGTTATTGTTTGTTTTGTGTTTATAGGTTTCACTGTGATGATTAAAAGAGCTATCTCAATGCATGAACTTCATGGGGTTCGAATCAATTCTCAGTGTCCATAGGTTTCTCATCTTCTATTCGCAGATGATTCTTTCTTTTTCCTCCGGGATTCACGAAGGGATGCTTCTTTCCTCCTTCAGGTACTGCGAGATATTGAAAATATCAGTGGCCAGAGAGTTCATCTCCAAAAATATGTTGTGTACTGCAGTCCCAACATGTTACAGTCAGAACAGGAAGATTTGGGATCCTTACTTGGTGTTGGGTCGATTGGTCTTCAAGATCGATACTTAGGCCTTCCTTCTCTTTTAGGGATATCAAAGATGGAGACTTTCCATTTTGTGGAGGAAAATTTATTATCAGTTCTTCAAGGTTGAAAACAACGACGTCTGTCTACTGCTGTCAAAGAAGTACTCTTCAAGTCTGTAGCAGCAACCCTTCCCATTTATATCATATCGTGTTTCCGGTTACCATCAGAGTTGATTCGGTGACTAAATGCTCACATGGCTCG